TATGTGTGTACAGACGCATTACCTGTCCATAGTGGGGATGATAGAAGGAGGAGGCCCACTAGTTGGTGGAGGAAAACTAGGAGGAGGGACAGTAATGGGCAACCCTACAAATAAGCAGAAGGAGTGAAGAGAGTAAACATGCTGAAAATATTGCATAATGATAATAATGATAATAACGATAAACGGTAAACTGAACTTACTGGGTGGGGGGATGAGTGGAGGTGCAGTACTGACGTTTGGTGGCGGAGGGAGAAATGGCGGTGGGGGAATGTTTGGAGGAAGTGGTCCGGGAGGGAAGAATGTGGGAATCTTAGCAGGAGCAGGTTCAGCCTCTGATGTCGAGTGCTCAGAGATCACCTGCACAACAACAGAGAGGTGAGGAGGAACACAGAGAGAGCAAACATCACACAGTTTTAATGTCTGTCGACATACTAAAAACAGCTGACTGATGCTATCAGAAGTTGAGTTTGCCATACTGTGTAACCACAAAGCCTTCTAAAATCCTGAGGCGTAACCCAGTGTGCACCTCACTAGAAACATGTCAGGTGGACAAAGTGCCGAACTACTGTCAGTACTGTCGATTCCTCCCCTTTGCATTTCCAGTTACTTTTTCCCTGCTGTTTTTGAGTTCATCAGTGAGAGAATAACAATCACTGCTCAGTATAAGGAATACGATTCATAGAAGGACTCACAAATGTCAGCAAATTCCTGGAGGGAGATTGCTGAAACTATCCTAATGGATGTGAGGGAACATACAAAGAAGAAAAAATGTTTGCCTCTAAAAATGAAAAACAAAACAAAAGCCCACAACAAAGAGTGGGAATCCATGAAGGAAAAAAAGTCCAAGCATTTTATTTGTTTCTATCGGCTGGGTGTGCATATAAAACACTGGGGGGCGACCACAAGATAATTAACAAACCAGCACGAGCATAAATGCCAACAACAATGCTGGCCACTTATGTAGGTTACATCATAAGCTACAAAAAGACTCCCCACAGAAATCTAAATCAGGCCTTATGTTCACTGTGAAAGACGCATAAACAAACTATAACTGGCGGTTTTTCTTGCGAGTTTCTGTTTTTGCTTGTACCTGAATATTGTTGCCCTCTAGATTATGTCGGCGACGACCCTCAACTCTGCTGATAGTTGCCAACTGTCCACCAATCACATCGATTGTGCCGCTCGATTTCCTAAAAAAAAAAAAGAAAAAAAAAGAAAAAAAGAAAAAAGGGACAATTAAAAAAAAATGTACATTAAGGTACCGAGCAGGATCCAAAGAAAATGGGCTCCAGCTACTTTCAAATGTACTACAGTCAAAAATAATGAGCAAATAAACTACAAGCCAAATTCACCAAAAAGTGTCAGTTTCTGTCTGGTAATTTAGTAAACCAGGGGTACGTATGGTTATTTATGCTGTTTTACCAGCATACATAACGACAGTACTCATTAACTATGGCAACAACAACAACACTGAGATAAAGGCTACTTACCATAAATACTCACACTTTCTTCCTAAATTTATCGATAAACACTATTAATTTAATTTTTACGTTAAATTATAAGTAAATTTGAATTTGCCAAGAAGTGATGTAGGACTTTTAGAGCATTACAACA